TCATGTCTGTGCCTCTTTGTTGGCAGCTTCCTAATGTTGTCCTAACTGTCCGCCAATTCACATGTTTTCAAACAGCTAGACTAGGAGTCTGAAATCATCTGTGGGCAGGGTCTGGGCTCCCGACGAAGGCTCTAGAAGACGAACTTGCCTTCCCCTTCCAGCTTCTGGTCAGTTGCTTTTCATCCTTGGAATTCGTAGGCTGTAGCCATGTCACTCCTGTCATTGCTGTCAGATGGCTTCCTTCTTTCTAGGTCTCTCTGTATGTCCCACCCTCTTTTGGGAAAACCAACAGTCTTTGGATCAGGTTCCCCTTACCCTGTAGGGTGATCTCAGCTTGTTAGCCATCACTAGATCTGTTTCCAAATAAAGTCACATTTTGAGGTTCTAGGTAGATATATGTTTTCAAAAATGCTATCCAACCTGCTGCTAGTCTTTTTTTGTTTTGTTTTCTTTTGTTTTGTTTTTTGAGACAGGGTTTCTCTGTGTAGCTTTGGAGCCTGTCCTGGAACTAGCTCTTGTAGACTAGGCTGGTCTCAAACTCACAGAGATCCACCTTCCTCTCCCTCCTGAGTGCTGGGATTAAAGGCGTGCGCCACCACTGCCCAGCCTCAATCTCTTAATGCTTATAGGCAAGTTTCCACGTTCAACTCTTTGCAAATCTTAATTTTCTTGTTTTTCTATGTTCTCATGTAGTGGAAGGCTGGCTGGAGCATGGCTGTGTGGCCCAGGCTGGTCTTGAACTTGTGATTTGCCTGCCTTGCCATTCCACAAGCTACCTACCCATCTCATAGACCACTTTAAAGAAAAAAAAAAACATTTACTTATTTATTTGAGGGGCGGGGAGCACAAGTGCCATGGCACATGCATTAGCATCAGCACAGCTTGCAGGAGTTGGTTGTCTCTTTCTACCATGTGGGTCCAGGAAGCAAACACAGGTGGGTCTTCAGGCTTATGTGGCAAGTGTCTTTACTATCTGAACTGTTTTACCAGATCTCAGATCTCTTTTTTTTTTTTCTGAGACAGGGGTTCTCTGTGTAGCTTTGTAGACCAGGCTGGCCTGGAACTCACATAGATCCTCCTGCCTCTGCCTCCCGAGTGCTAGGATTAAAGGTGTGTGCACCACCACCCTCAGATCTCATTCTTAATAACTGCATAGTGTTCTGCCTCACAAGTGTCGCATGGGGGTGTGGCACATGGGATGGAGAGCTAGCCTGCCAGGCTTGGCCTCCCTTCTGTCCCTTGCTCGAAGTTATGACTGAATTGTGCCCTTCTTCTCCTGTCCCACTCCATATGTTGAAATCCTCGCTTACAGTCACCAGAATGTGACTGTATCTGGAGACAGGGTAATTAAGTTAAATATGGTCATATGGGTGGGCCCTGATCCAAAGTGACAAGTGCTTCGTTTTTTAAAGTATTGTGTTTGGGTCTGTGACAATAAGTGAGTGGAGGGCAACTTTGAGGGGCGTGTCCTCTCCTCCCGTGTTTATGTGAACTCTGGAAATCAAACTCTGGTCACCAGGCCCTCACGGCAAGCACCCTCACCTGCTGTGCCATCTTGCTGGCCCCTCATGGGTGTTCTTAGAAGGCATACACAGGGGACGGCCATGTGACGCACAGAGAAAAGTCCTGGAAGAAATCAGCCGGCTGGTAGCTTGACCTCAGATTTTGGCCTCTGGAACTGTAAGGGAAAGTTGTTTGAGGTTCTTTTTTTGCCAGACAGAGCTGAGCAGTCCTCCCCATCCCGCCAAGCACTAGCCCCAAGTCCCTGTTTTCCCCTTCTGTGAAACCACAGTCCCCAGAGTGTTGTGGTAGTTTCATGGGAGAATGTTCTATCCGATGCCTGGAGTGTGTGGCCACAGACCTCTCAGCAATGTTGGTCCTCGCCTAATGGTCTGCTGAACACATGGGAAACATATGTTAGGCTCCGTCATGGCCATTGCCCTGTGATAGGCTGTGGCCTGTAGCTTGTGATGGATTTGTAGTCAATTTCTGCATGTTCTGTATCACCCTGCTGCATATCACCCATGAGGGGCTCTATTGTGGAAACTCCTGGGGCCCAGCATCCTCCTGCCCATGCATTGGGAAGGATGCCCCAAGCAGAGCCACACGGCTGTGAACAACCAGGAAGATGAAGCCTCCTGGGCCTGCTGCCTATGGCTGCTTCCTAGTCCCTCCAGAACCCAGAGGTGATGAAAGCCAGACATCCAGAAACCACAACCTAAGGACTTTGGGGCTGGCTGGGCATTTCACACCTGTTCACCTCAAGGAATGGTGCTGTGAGCTTGTTAAATAATTTGTGTCAGGGCCAGCAAGATGGCTCAGCAGGAAGAGCATTTGCCCATGAACCCAAGTTTGATACTTGGATCCTGTGGTAGAAGACAACCCGTTCCCAAAAGTTGTCCTCTGACTTAGGTCCATGTGTGCCATCTTCATCTTCCTCCTTCCCCAAAACCCCTATGATAAAAATACTTTCATGTGTTTTATTATTTTATGTGTGTGAGTATTTTGCCTGCATATCTGTCTAGGTACCATGTGCATGCCTGGTGTCCTGGTGCCCTGAGAAGTCAGAAGAGAGCACCAGATCCCTTGGGACTGGAGTTACAGATGGTAACTCCATTGTGAGTTACCACATGGGTGCTGGGAATCGAAGGCTGTGGGTCCCCTGCAAGAGCAACAAGTGTCTTAATTGCTGAGCCAACTGTCCAAGAGCTGGATGGGCAGAGGAATGTAGAGGCTCTGGGGCTCTTGAGTACATCCGCAAATTTCAGTCTCTCACTTGCACGCCCTGGGTGCCTGCAGTGTGCACCCTTTTCTTCTCTCTGAAGTCTGAGCTTCAGAGTCACAGAGGCAAACAGGATACTCCCCTCCCCCCCACAGAGACTTCAGACAGGGGGAGGCCCTACCCCTGCTACTGGTGCTGGCCGGCTCTGCTAGGCACCTGGGGGAAGTGACAGGGGTAAAGGACTGCATGCCAGGAGAGGCACCCATGGAGCTAGCCCCCTTAGTCACACCTGCAGCATCTGTTCTGGGGTTTGAGCCAGGCAGGCACGTGTAAGATCCCCTTGGGGAGTCCATGCACTGAAGGGCTGAAGGATGCCCCATGGTGCCATGTGCCTGCTGACACCTAGCACATGTGAGGGAGGTCTAGGAAGGAGAATGGATTTCTTATCCCCAGCCTCTTCTTCTGTGCTGCTGACTTTCTTGATTTCTGGGCTGTTATATTTTCCTAAAAAGTGATGTGACCACACCTTAGCTAGTTATATTCACTTCAAAATTGTGAAATTGAGCCAGGCGTGGTGGCACACGCCCTTAATACCAGCACTCGGGAGGCAGAGGCAGGTGGATCTCTGAGTTTGAGGCCAGCCTGGTCTACAGAGTGAGCCCCAGGACAGCCAGCCAGAACTATTACACAGAGAAACCCTTTCTTGAAAGACAAAACAAACAAAATTGCAGTATTGATACAAAATAGGTCACTACTCCAAAGCTTGGATAAGAATGGCCCCAGGGGGATGGCAGGCCCAGGTTGGACAGTCTCTGGACAGCCCAACATGTCCGGTGTTTCCTGGGTGTGGTCTCTGCACAATGGGTGGTTTGGTTCTCGTGCGGCCCTTTTGAGAACATGAAGGTGAAAGATGGAAGGTTCCTGTCCTTTCCCAAGGCACCTCCAGCCTTCCAAGTAGATGCCCTGAGGCCTCAGCCCCATGAGTGTTGGGAGAAGGCAGGTTTAAAGATGTCAGGATTTTGCCACCCACTTGGCAACCCCGCCTGACAGTGAATGGCATTCTGGAACTTTCCATTCAGCCAAGCCTGAGCTAGTGTTGTACAGCAAAGCACCTTGGTGTGCCTTGTGGCTCAGAGAGAGAGAGAGAGAGAGAGAGAGAGAGAGAGAGAGAGAGTACTCTACATCAGCAGGAAAATGTACCCTTCCTTCCTTTCCTTCTCCATGTTGTAGGGTCAGGGAAGGTGAGCAGGAGTGAATCGGGGATCCAGGGGGCGTGGCCCAGAGACAGCCTCCACAAAGCACATGTGGCATGCATAGGGCCAGCAGATGCAGCTCTTTCTAGTCCCCAGGACTCAGGCTCCATCACGGGTCCTTCTCAGTGTGCCTCACTGCCTTCTAGACACCTCTGCCTGTCCAGCTGTGCAGGGGTCTGCCCTGCTGCTGACTTCTCTGCTCTCTGCACCTGAGACAGGTCCTGCAGCCTCTCCTGATGGAGACTGAATGTGCACTCCCTCTCCTGCATGAGATATGCTCCCCTTGTCTCTTGGTGTGGTCATATGTTTGAGATCTCTAACACCAAACTTACTGGGTTTTAATATTTGGCTTTAAAAAGATTTTGTTATTGTTGTTTTTGAGACAAGGTCTCACGTAGCTCAAGCTGGAGTCACACTCACTGTGTAGCTGAGGCTGAGCTTGAACTTGAGTGCCGGGTTCACAGGCGTGTGCCACTGTTCCTAGCCAGCTGAGATTCTTAAAGGGCCATTTCAGGCTGTGTGTTTCTATACTTCCGTGGAAAATAAAGATGTATTTGTGCATGTGTTCTCTAGTCTATAGAGTCCATTGAGACCATTACACGATGAACAAAAATGTCCAGGATGTCTGCCTTGTCCAGCACAGCCCTACCCTGGTGTTGTTCTTGTTATTATAATTAGTGTGTGATTGTGTGACGTGTGTGTCAGTGTGGGCATGTACATGCTATGGCCTGTATGTGGAGGACAACCTTTGGAAGTCAGTCTCTTGTTCTACTGTGATTCTTGGGGATGGAACACAGGTCATCAGGCTTGCGTAGCAAACACTCATTTGTAACTACTGAGCCATTTCATAGGTCCCATACTAGCATGCATGTGTGTGTGTGTGTGTGTGTGTGTGTGTGTGTGTGTGTGTGTGCTCACGCCAAGTGCACAAGGGTATTATTCTTTGGCCCTTGGTAGGTCTTTGACATGGTGACTCATGGTCTGAGTTGGCAGTAGCCCTCAGGCTCTCTCTCCTTCCCCTCTAGATCTTCAATCTCATGAAGTATGACAGCTACAGCCGATTCTTGAAGTCTGACTTGTTTTTGAAACACAACTGTACTGATGAAGAGGAAGAAGAGCCTCCCGACGCTCAAACCGCAGCTAAACGTGCTTCCAGAATTTACAACACATGAGCCCGAGAGCTAAGACCTTCACCACCACCACCACCACCACCCCCCATGGCGCAGAGGATGGACTCTTGGAACTGTGCAGGGCTGTCATTGCTTCGTTATGTTTGAGGACTGAAGTATGCAAGACCTCCCCACAAGATATGTGTATTTTATTAACGGTTTGACCAGTAAAGTAACTCCTGCATGTTAGCTAACCCTCCATTAAAAACAAAAGTAGCTTTAAAGTTTCCGTTCACAAAACAAATGCGATTTCTCCAATACTGGATACTCACAGCATTTTAAGCTTAATTAAATTCCCTGAGAGTCCACAAGTGAAGCCCTTAGCCGCTTCTGCTCTGTTAGCCTTCGCCTCATCTTTCTGGCCTGGGCTGTGCGCATCCAAGACTCTTGGTCTGACAAACACAAGAGTGGTGGGCATTGTTTGCTGATTGCTTTGGGGTTGGATTGTTCTGGAGAGAAGTCCAGTGCTGTCTAAAGCAGATCTCTGACAGCTGCGAAAGATTCAGGGAGTTGAATGACAGCTTTAGCAAAGGGCTGTTTTTTCTCATATGGGCGGGGTGGGGGTGTGGGGAACGACTGGTCCCTTAATCCATGGCATTTCACGCAACACACATGCTTGAAGTTCATTTCCACGGAAACACTATTTTAGGCAAGGGGAAAAACAAAAGCGAAACCAGTCAGGGCTGGAGACTGCTCCCAGTTGTGTCCAGTGGGACCTCAGCATGAGATGTTGGGGTTAATGGGATGTTCCCCCTTTCCCTTCTACCGCCTAGGGTCAAATCAACCCTGCACCTTCTCCGGCCTTTCTTCATTTGTGAACTCTGGCTTGAAATTCCCACGAGGGGAAAGAAAAGCCGTGTACACAAGCTCAAGCCCACGGCCAACCTGGTCTACATGTAAAGCCGGCCGCAGCCAGGTGGAGAGGCTGGGAATGACTAGCGGGTTCCAGTTACCTCTCTTTTCCAGTGGAGGCCATCAGGACCCTGGATCAGGCTCAGCTCCCTTCAGCTGGTGTCCACACCTCTTGCAGGGCTCAGCACTGTTGCTAGACTGTCTCTGGCATGTTTGCTAGCTCTCATTTGTACCCACAAAACAATGAGCCTCAGCTGCTTATGGGCCTCCTGGACTCAGACTCTATCATTTGCAAAATCTCCTGCCGTTGAGGTGACTGTGTGACTTACCACTTAAAGCAGGACACTTGAGAGACAAGGTGAGGTACATTTTAAAATTATAATGGCCAGGCGTGTTTTAATCCCAGCTCTTGGGAGGCAGAGGTAGGTGGATCTCAGTGAGTGAATTCAAGGCCATCCTGGTCTACATATAAAGTTCAGGCCAGCCAGGGATACATAGTGAGAACTTATCTCACAAAACAATCAAGAGCAGGAGAGATGGCTCAGTGGTTAAGAGCCTTTGTGGCTCTTGCAAAGGACCTGGGTTCAGTTCCTGACCATCTGTATGGTAGGTCACAACATTTCTAATTCCTGTTGCAAGTAATCTAATGCCCTCTTCTGGCCTCTGTGGGAACTGCAAGTGCATTGTGCACATAGATCTATGACAGGCTAAACACTCATACACATAAAATAAAAATAAAAGAAATATTTAAAACATACAAAATCCAAAAGAAATATAGTGTCCTGACATCTCTGATAAACCATTAACAGTGATTCCCTGATGATGATCCTCTGATGACCTTGCCCTATCTGGACTCCCTAGTCTTCTGGCTGCTTCCTGTCTTTTCCTCTTGGATTTGGAGGAGGAATGACCTTTGGGGAGCTATTCCCTGCTGAAGACAGAAAAACCACCGAGTATCTGTTGGCAACTACAAGCCCAGGGCATTGCACATCCCTCAGACACATGCCTCTTAGGTGTCTTCTGTCTGCCTATCGCTGGGACCTGGGACTGACCATGACACTGAGAATGACCCCAAGGGCCCTGTTACTAGAGCCATACTGTCACTGTAAGCAGAGTAGATCAGTACATTTTAAAGAGTGAAGGTTAACAGTGCAGGTTCTCCAACTCCACCTTTACTTGGTTGGCCAGGGCAATGCAGGGGATCAGGGGATGCAGGGGATCAGAGGATGCTGGGGATCAGAGGATGCTGGGGATCAGAGGATGCTGGGGATCAGAGGATGCTGGGCATCAGAGGATGCTGGGGATCAGAGGATGCAGGGGATCAGAGGATGCTGGGGATCAGAGGACGCAGGGGATCAGGGGATGCAGGGGATCAGAGGGATGCAGGGGATCAGGGGATGCAGGGGATCAGAGGATGCAGGGGATGCAGGGGATCAGAGGGATGCAGGGGATCGGGGGATGAAGAGGACGCAGGGGATCAGGGGATGCAGGGGATCAGAGGATGCAGGGGATCAGAGGGATGCAGGGGATCAGGGGATGCAAGGGATCAGAGGGATACAGGGGATCAGAGGGATGCAGAGGATCGGGGGATGCAGGGGATCAGAGGGTCCTCTACATCACTAAGGATACAAGGGGCCAGGACAGCACCTTTCAGAAAGCCCAGCATGGGCAGTGACTGGAGTAGCTGGAGGCCTCCCTCTGACTTCTCTTACACGACTGGTTCAGAGACTATGTTAGAAGACACTAAATGGAAAAGAAATGACCAAAGAGAGCAGTAGGCTGTCATAAGAAGAAAAGTTCCCTCTGTCATTCCCCCCCTCCTTACTTCCTGATCACAAAAATTATTCAGAATCTGACACCCGAACAAGCAGTTGCAATGAGATTGAAATGTAGGGAATCCATGCAGCCAAATAAATGCTTCTGTCCAGCCCCTCACTTTTACCCTTGTGTCTGTCTGTCCATCCAGTCCATGCACCTACCTGCCCACTCACCCATCATCCATGCATCCATCCAACACCCATCTACTCACTACCCATCATCCACCGACTCATTATCCATTCCTCTACCCACCCGCCACCTGTCCATCCAACATCCATCCACGGAGTAGTACCTAATCTACTTCTGCAGTGTTCTGAGGATTGTTAAGAGGCCAGGACTGAAGAGGGATAAACACTGTGACAATTCACACACCTGAAACCTATCGATGTGTAGTTTTATTATTATTAAGGTCTATTGAGGCCAACAAGCCAGAAAACAGTTTAGCGATTTGGTTGTTCTCAGTTCCTAAGAGGAGGGTTGTACAGTCATGCAGGGCTGTGTGGGGCTGGCTGCACAAGGTTGTTATCAGGAGACAGAACAGGGGTTTGGGGATATGGAGTGAGCCCTTGTTGTCATTTCTTGGTTAAGGCAAGCAAGGCCAGGGTGTCTGGGACTGCCCAGTCTGAATATTTTTACTGGACTCCTGGATATGACTGTTCCCAGATATCTTATACCTGTCTGTGGGGCGGTGAGGATTGGTGGACAGTGGCCCAGCATGGAAGAGGCTGACAAAGGCATAGTATAGTTGGCATGTTCTGACATGATTGTTTTGTGTATGAAGGATACAACCCAGTTGCTTATGGCCTAAAAGTTGGCTAGCCCTGGGAGAAACATCCTCTCCAGTGTCAGCAAGGTCCCAGACCTTGCAAGGTCACAACAGCAGAATAAAAAGACATGCTTAGTACAACGGTCTCTGGGGACTTCAGCCTGCTGGCCATGGTGCATTTTGCTGTCTCTGCCTGGGCATCTGTTTAAAATCTGGCAGCGCTGATGCTGCAGGCAGATAATGGCATCAGCTCCTGGAGACCACAGGCTCCCCTTTTCGCTGCTGCTCTGTCTCAGGCCACTTACAGGCCTGTTACCAGCTCATTCTTAATGCGTGGCCCTATCTCCATTTCCCACCTGCAGAGAGCACAGCCCAGGGGACCCTTTTCTCTGACTTTATGGTCACTCATTCCTCTTCCCTGTCCACTCCCCTGCCCTGTCTGACTTTCCGAGAGTAAGCCACAGTGGTTTTCTCCCTGGGGGTTCTGCCCTGTCTCCCGCTTCTTTTTATTGTTAAAATTATGGTGTGTGTGTGTGTGTGTGTGTGTGTGTGTGTGTGTGTGTGTGTGTGCAAGTGCACATGAGGACATACATATGTAGGTCAGAGGACAATTTGCAGGAGTTGGCTCCCACCTCCCACCACCTGGGTCCCAGGAATTGAGCGCAGGTGGTCAGGCCTGGCAGGGAGTGCCCGCCCTATCGGTGGAGCCATCTCACACTCCTGCTGTGCCCTCTCCATGGCAGACTCCCCTCTGAAGGTGACAGGAACCACTGCCGCTTCTCTTTCTTAGCCTTCCACCCAAAGAGATCTGGGGTGAGACTACCTAGTCGAATGGTAAACACAAATACATGCTTGTGAGAATCAGGATCTGAGGGTGGAGCCACACTCTGTTCTGACCCAGTTCCCCTTTGGCCCATGCATCCATTGGACAGACCTTTGCAAGGCCAGGCTGGGGTGAGTGCTGGCCTCGAAGCACGCATGCTCAGTACTTACCCAACAGGTATTTAACGAGCACCTACTATGTACATCCTGGACCAAATGGTGGATACAATGAGAACACCACGGGCAATGTGCTGTATTAATCCTGTCTTGGGGAAGCAGTTGGGCAGGTGATGATGTGACTGACCTCCAGGAGGGGCTGATGGACATGACTGGCCAATTGTGCCCAGCCCTGAAGCTCACGGGCTAGGTTGTATTGGGGGTTTTAGTCTGAGGTGGGCAGTGGTAGGTGAGCTTTCCATTTCACCCTCAGATGAGAAAAGCTGGGCCTGCACTGAGCTTCTTCCTACGACCGTGCTGACTGGGACATGGGCGTGTATCGTGTCATGTGTCATAGAGTTAGAAGCTGATTAATTGATAGCCAGCTCTCAGGCCCCAACTCTGCCTTGGGGAGGGTTGGTTGTTTATAAGCTGTGCAAACTATCAGGCGAGCACAGTCTGGGCTCACATCCGCTACTATTTACGTTCATTTTCCCTGTGGATGTTCATTTGTTTAAGTGCTCCATGGTCTTGTACCATTAGCTTTCAGGAATTCCATTTTTAATTGTCTTTCTTCACAAGATTGTTTGGTACGAGGCAGTGAGCACTATAAAGAGGCCAATGGCTAGCAAGGGCGTGAGGAAACCTCAATGCTGAAGTGAGCCCTAACCCCGGAGTAGACACTGTGACCTCTCTTAGGGTTCCCACCAGCACTGTGAGTCGAAGGTCACACGGAAAGCCATGCGTCCCTTTTGTAGGAGCCTGTGTGTGAGAGCTTTGCAGATGGTAAATGTGCTGGGGCTGGATTGGAGGGGTGACCCCAAAGCTGCAGCCACCTGGAGAAAGGTGGCTGTTTTCAAATTTCTCACAAAGCCAAAGGATAGAGGCAGCTGGGTGATCAT